CCTGCTTCGGCCTCCCAAAGTGCTAGGATTATAGGCTTGAGCCACCATACCTGGCTGACAGCCATGATTCTTAGTAGTGAAGAATAGACCAGGCACGGTGGCTCACACCTGTAATTCCCAACACTTTGAGAGGCTGAGGCAGGTGGATCACTTGAGGTCAGGGGTTCGAGACCAGACTGGCCAACATGGTGAAACCTTATCTCTACTAAAAATACAAAAATTCGCGGGGTGTGGTGGTGCACGCTTATAATCCCAGCTCCTTGGGAGGCTGAGCCAGGAAGATTGCTTGAACCTGGGAGGCAGAGGTTGTGGTGATTGTGCCACTGGACTCCAGCCTGGGCAACACAGCAAGACTCCATCTGAAAAAAAAATAGTGAAGAATAACCAGTTTCTGTTCACCATATGCCGCATTTACAGACAAATGTCTGAAAACGCTATGATGTTATTGTTTATTTTTGGCTGGGTATGGTGGCTCATGCCTGTAATCCCAGCACTTTGGGAGGACAAGGCAGGTGGATCACTGGATTAGGAGTTTGAGACAAACCTGGGCAACGTGGCTCTACAAAAAATACAAAAATTAGCCTGGTATGGTGGCATGCACCTGTAGTCCCAGCTACTTGGGAGGCTGAGGTGGGAGGATTGCTTGATCCCAGGAGGTGGAGGTTGCAGTGAGCCATGATCATGCCACTGTGCTCCAGCCTGGGTGACAGAGCCAAACCCTGTCTCAAATAAAACAAACAAACAAACAAATTGTATTTTTCTAGGATTTCTTTTGTATTGCCTTAGCGATGACATAAACCACCATTCCTATTCAGATAGGAATCTGAAGATGTTGTAAAGATTGCTTTTTATTTACTTATTTAGGTTTTTAATCTTAAAATCCATTTATAATATTATAGTGCTTTTTTTAGTACTTTAATGTATGTATTTTTATGTAGGATGAATGCACTTTTCGTTTCTTAAGTAGTTCTATGTTTACAGTAAGCCATTTGTTGTATGTTTATGGAATGCCTGTTGTCTGTCAAGCATTATGGATACCAAAGTGTATGAAACCGACAAGGTCTCTGCCCTGTGTCTTCCAGTATGGTGACCAGCAGCCTCCTGGGCCTGTCAAACATTTGAAATGTAGTTAGTCCACATTGAGATGCCGTCAGAGTAAAACACATGCTGGGTTTTGAAGGCTCCAGATGAAGAACCGAATGTAAAATACATCATTGATATTTTTTGATACTGATGACATGTTGAAATGATAGCATTTTTAATATATTGAGTTCAATGAAATATATTATTTTTTGTTTTTGTTTTTCATCACGCAACATGCCTGTGTAAGAAATATATTCTTAAAGTTCCTTTTATTAAAACTAGGTTAGGCCGGGCGCAGTGGCTCACGTCTGTAATCCCAGCACTTTGGGAGGCCGAGGTGGGTGGATCACGAGGTCAGGAGTTCGAGACCATCCTGGCTAACATGGTGAAACCCCGTCTCTACTAAAATTACAAAAAATTAGCCGGGCGTGGTGGCGGCACCTGTAGTCCCAGCTACTTGGGAAGCTGAGGCAGGAGAATGGCGTGAACCCGGGAGGCAGAGCGGAGCTTGCAGTGAGCCGAGATTGTGCCACTGCACTCCAGCCTGGGCGACAGAGCGAGACTCCATCTAAAAAAAAAAAAAAAAAAAAAAACTAGGTTACAGTGAATTTTCCTATGACTACTAGGAAACTTAAAATCCGTAAGAGGCTCGTATTATGTTTCTGTTGGGCCGTGCTGGTCTAGAGGAAGAGGCGTGAACAAGGGAGCCTGTGCATGTGTGAATGCGGGTTGTGACCAGTGCTGTGAAAGAGAAGCACAGTGTTCTCCAGGAGCAATCAACAGGGAGACTTCAGGCTAAGGGAGTCAGGGAGGCGCTCCCTGAAAACGCACCGTTTAAACTGCACTGGCGAGCAGGCAGGCACTGTCCAGGTGGGGTAGAGGAAAGCGATTTCCACCACAGGGACAGAGGCTCTGAGCTGAAGAAGGGCTAAGTGATTGCTCTGGCTGCTGTTCAGTTGAACCAGGCCTCTGGTCTCGACTTCAGTGATTGATTGATAGGATGACCACCACTGAGACGCCAACAGGAAATGAAGAGAACTCTGACCGGGTTCCCTGACAGCCTACGCCATTCAGCTTTTCCCACGATTGCTGCGTACTGGGATGAGAATACCGTATTTAATCTGATAGTGAGTTTAAACTTGTGAAATGTTTTCCCTTTCTGTTAGGTATAGCGAAGGAGACACTGAGAAGTTAAAGATGTACCATTCTCTCCTTGGGAATGACTGGAAGACGATTGGTGAGATGGTGGCCCGAAGTAGCCTCTCCGTGGCCCTGAAGTTCTCGCAGATCAGCAGTCGTAAGTGGCAGCCACCAGTGCCCACCTCGCTGAAGAAATAAGCCCTGACAGGCCTGGTTCAGCCATAACTGATCCAATGCCCAGAAATCACCGCAGACCTGTCTTCTGCGAGAGCTTTGTTTGTTAAGCTGTTCTCTATACTAATTCATTTGGTTTCCTCCTGTATTCAGTGAAGCCATGCAACCTTTACCCACTAGGCTGGTTTTTACCACACTTCAATAACTGTGCGTGCAAATATAACTGCCAAGTGAACCCAAGAAACTGGTGGTGGGAGAGCCTGGGCGGAGGGTCACTTTCCCGCGGTGGCACGGGACACCTTGGGAGGGAGGCAGGCATGCAGTTCCTGCCTGTCAGGCGGGGACTTTTCTCAGAACCAGTGTTGGTGACCTCCTGTCTCTATCTCCTCTTTCTTAAAAGGTTTCCTTTAAGAAGACAGTCCTTGTCGGGTTTCTGTTTAGCACAGGGGCTCACATACTCCGGCCACACAGGTAGTGCCTTGCAGCCAGTTCTTCAAGTTTCCAAGAAATAAAGGAAAAATCTTGAATTTTTTTTTCTTTTTTTTTAATTTTGTGAACTCTAGATATCTTTTTTTCTTTCTTGGAAACCTCTTGATTTTTAAATTTTCATCCAAATTGTTATTGAGGGGGAAATGTAACATTCTGTGGAATGTTACCAAAAGCACAGCCAAGCAGCTGCCAGCGTGAGACTCCTTACTTTTTAAGATCTCAGTCTGTGTGTGACTGCGAATGTCTCCAGTGAAGAAGGGTGAACCATCGATACTGTGGGCATCTGCCATAGATAATTGGCTTCAGAAATTCTCAAGTGCCTTCATCAAGTACTGTGCTGGTGTCACTGTGGCTATTATTGTTACACTAGGAACTCTTGGCCAAGAGACAT